CCCCAAAACCCCAAAACCCCAAAACCCCAAAACCCCTCTATAATGTATAAATATTGAAAATAAAGAGGACCAAATTTCTTGATGAAAAATTTAGGTGTAAACTATTCCACAAACCCTAGATCATCGGTTATCTCCGTCAAGATGGAGTCTAAGTCTTTCCACTCTACATACAGCGAAGAGCCTGGGCAAGGCCAGGCTCTTCGACGCAATATTACTAGGAAGAGTTCAAGTTCATCCACGGGAGATAGGATAATTAAAGAATTTAAGAAATTTATAAAATAAGCAAGCACTTGAGCTACCTAAAACAGTTGATGATTCTAAGGTTTTAAAGGCACTCAAGTATTGTAAGTATAACCACAAAAAGACTTTTGACTTGATCAGACGAAATATCAAATGGGCATGAACGTCGGAGGTCTATGAATCTGGCAGGGATTCAACTAAGTCATTACAGGTAATGTTACATCAGCGATCTAATTTTATGATTTTATTAAAAGAATAATCTACCAATTAAAAAGGAGTCTTAGACATTTCATTCAGAAATCACTCAATTCTTCTTAGTTGTCCTAATTTCAAATAAGATTTTTATCTGCTTCTCTATTTAGTTTTAAAATTACAGGCTATTATTCCATTCTGATACATGGAAATCTTTTGCATCTAACTGATTCAGCTTTTGAAAGATGCTAAATTTTTTTAGAAATCAAACCCAAATATTTCAGCAAGAAGCATAATTTCAACTAAGGAAAATGGTATGGACTTCTCATTCAAAGGAGTAAGGAAGCTTACCACTGATCCTGAGAATATCTCAAGGGTAACTAAATCTAATGGAAAAAGAGAATTTAAAATTGTTCCACATGAGTTGGAAAACCTGAATGAAAACGAACGCTTAAGAATTTATTCATCAGACCAAAGCCCTGCAAAGATTTCAGCTTTTAAGCTACTAAAGTCAGGTTCTTTTAAAGAAGTGAGCATGACTCAAGAAGGAAGGCTCCCTCAAAAGTCTTTTGCTGACATGGTCAATTCATTTCAAATTTCTCCAAAAGAAAGACAGAAATCAAGTGAGGCTATTTTTGCTGAGCACAGTTTCCAAATAATTAACCAAAAATAACTACACGAGTTGTTTAAAATCTGAGAATAGCCAAGACAAAAGAGAGCTTATTGTTTCAGAAAACATTGATTCAGATGAGTCTTCTACTAATGGGAGCATGAATTCATTTGGTGTCATGACTACACATCAGACCATCTTATCAGATGGTTCTAAAGATTTTGGACAGATTGATCAAAAACTAAATTTTGAAGAAGATCCATTAGATCCAGAGAAGGAATCTTCAGAATGTCAAAATAGGTATTTTAAACTCCAAAACGGGAGGAAGATCTATCTCTGGAACTTTGATTAAGCTTTGGTTGCGAGATCCCGGTCAAATCCATAATTTAACCACCAACTTTAGGAATTATTAGGTAAATCAATCACTATCCTCCCATAAGGGGTTTTGGGGTTTTGGGGTTTTGGGGTTTTGGGGTTTTGGGGTTTTGGGG